AAAAAAAAAAGAAACTCGCATCTTTGGCGTAATAAAAGTACTCTCGGCTCGTATAAATATTTCATATTCTTGAGGGAAACTACCTCAACTGATATTGCAAACTGTAACAGACTCGGTCAACGTTCGTTAATGAAGATCTTAGCTTTGGATTATGGCAAAACCGCTTCGACAAACAATCCTCCGAGATTCCGCAAACATAAACCTGGCTGACCTAATCGTTTACAGTCTGCGTCCAGATTTACACGATGTTACAATTTGAATATCGGTCAGCGAGAAACACACGAGGAAATATATTACATGTAATTGAAAGCTACATATTTGGAAGCTTGGGAAGGAAGGTGTGCTCCTCCTTCGGTAGTGGTCTTCAATATCGATAATGGACAGTAGTTCACGTCAAAAAGCCTGATCGAATAAGGAGATTATTCCAAGATTAACCTGAGCTTTCACCCAGAGAAGAGAATTTCTCTTAAATTCGAATTTCTGTGAAACCGCTGAAGCGTCCTAAAACTCCTTTAAAACCTCGAGCGAGATTTCTCAGACTTTTCAGTTAGATCGCCGAGGTCGCTGAGGTTGTAATGCGTAATAGTCGAAGAACACGAGAAAGAGTGAACATTGATGGAAGTTCCAAGGCCACTTTACAATTAGACGTTTCAACATGAGTGTGATTCCTCGGAATGCCAGGCTTGAGAAGAGAAAAGAGAGCAGATGGTATCGCGATGAAACAGGAACACGAATCAGCGCAGTTAATATAAGGTGAAAAATGTTCCCTTGCAACTTGGGAGGAGAGGGCGAGGGTAGGTAAAGAAAAAAGAAAACGAAAAAGAGCAAAGAACCTGTTTGGACAGAGAATTCAGGGACGGAGGGGGGGTATTTTAAGTAAACTTGGGGTAAAGTCAGGCGAACTTCTCTCTGTCTAACGCGAGACATCGTCCCCGAGTCTAGCGCATGCACGCCAAGCGATAGTTTGATACGTTAATCCGTTAAGTTGGAAAATTTATCGAGTTGGAACTTGGTTTAATCTGGGACCGATGTAGACGCAAGCAGCCCAAGTTGTGTGTTCCTCTTGTAGCCAGCACTGTAATGTACACCGAGAGAAGACAGATACGA